ATATAATTATATATAACTATATACATTTATCTACGGCAGACCGCGACAGGTATATTTTTTTCATTGGAAACATAAAGGTGAGACCTTCTTTGAGACGTAACAACCAATTTAAAAATCCTTTTAACTAATTTTAATCTTTTTATAGGGAGGTACACGTCTCTCGTCACCCACCACACTCGGGCGACTTAGTTCACTAGTCGCGGACCCGGCAGTGTGTCCGGCCTGTGCTGTGTGCTGTGTTAAGTGAGAGAGTGTGTGGTGTGGGCTAGTTGTGTGTCGTGTGGTGTGTGTGTGGTGTGTGTGTGGTGTGTGTGTGTGTGTGTGTCTGTCGGGTGGTTGTGTGTGTGTGTGTGTGTGTGTGTCGTGTGTGTGTGTGTTGTGGTACGTGTGGTGTGGTGTGTGTGTGTGTGTGTGAGTGTTTGGTGTGTGTGGGGTGCGGGAGAAACGAATCATGAGTGTGGTGCAGTGTGACACGTCAAGAGAATATTTAATTTTAACTGTCATCAACCAAGATCCTCATTCGTACCGCTTTATTACCTGTAGAAGCCGAAATACTAATCTTTGCAAACAAATCGTGAAGTTCGACTCAATCCGATGTTATAAATATTATTTTATTATTATTATTCTCTCATTACTTCATACTTATTATACCTTATTTTTTTGATCCTATCTACTCTAGTATTAGTACAAATTGTATGTAACAATATATTATATAATGTTACAAATATAGTAATTTACGCAAACACTTTTTTATGTGAGAACAAGTATTCTGTCAAAACAAAATTTTTTTTCCCCAAACTTATACACTTATTATTCATTATGAAAGACGAATTGATTAAAACAAAAACCTAAATCTAGATAAATGTTACTCAATACTTTATACCAAATAAGAAGTTTGGTTAATACCCCTGCAGACAAACAGTGATCGTCCGTAACTACTACCATAAGAAACTGTAGTACTCAGTTAATTAATTAATTATGGTTATTTATGTTATCTTATTTTTATCTTACACGAAAATATTATACTATGATATTATGATTATCCAAACAAAATACACTTTCAATCACATTATCTAGTTTTGGAAATTTTTTTTTCTCCGTGAAAACCGTGAGGACAAAATTTCAGTAAACAAACCTGACACGTTTACTTCCAATGTGGTTAGACAGTAGTGTCAAGAGACATGTTTTACTTCCCCATGGGTTTATAACGAATCAACCTTTCACATCTCCCCTATTGAAATTGGGTGATACTTAAATTTACGTAACATA